CTTATAACTGGGGATGAAGCTGTGTTCAGAATTAAGCAATTAAATTTAACCCCTGGTTCACATATATGCGGCCGTGCGGGCCGCGTTTTGCACGGGCACGAGAGCCCGTTCATTTGAGCGTGCCCGTGACACGCAGGGAAGAAGTTCCTGCACGTCTTTGGAAAACGCAGCCTGCACGGGAACCTCGGTTCCCAGTACAGTTGCGTTTTCCAGTGCGGACTGCGTGCCATTAGAACTAAGAGCACCCGCCCGCGGGTCCGCATTTCTCTGTGCGGGTGGTGCGGCTGCACAGATTTTCGTGCGGATCTGCAGTGGCACCACCTGCACAGATGTGAACCTAGGGTAAAATCATGTTAAATAGGAGTCAGTACACACCTGCCATCATTTAAAGTGCCTCTGATTAACCCCAAATAAAGTTCAGCTGTTCTAGGAGGTCTTTCCTGACATTTTCTTAGTCGCATCCTACAGCAAAAGCCATGGTTTGCAGAGAGCTTGCAAAGCATCAGAGGGATCTCATTGTTAAAAAGGTATCGATCAGGAGAAGGGTACAAAAGAATTGCCAAGGCATTAGATATACCATGGAACACAGTAAAGACAGTCATCAAGTGGAGAAAATATGGTGTAACAGTGATATTACCAAGAACTGATGAGAAGACGAGAAGAAAACTGGTCTGGGAGGCTGCCAAGAAGCCTACAGTAACAATAAAGGAGCTGCAGGAATATCTGGCAAGTACTGGCTGTGTGGTACATGTGACAACAATCTCCCATATTCTTCATATCTCTGAGCTATGGGGTAGAGTGGCAAGACAGAAGCCTTTTGTTACAAAGAAAAACATCCAAGCCTGGCTAAATTTTGCAAAAACACACCTGAAGTCTCCCAAAAGCATGTGGGAAAATGTGTTATGGTCTGATGAAACCAAGGTTGAACTTTCTGGACATAATTCCAAAAGATGTTTGGCACAAAAATAACACAGCAAATCACCAAAAGAACACCATACCCACAGTGAAGCATGGTGGTGGCAGCATCATGCTTTGCGGCTGTTTTTCTTCAGCTGGAACTGGGGATCTGAAGAGGGCTGTGCACAGGAGATGCCCTCGCAATCTGACAGATCTGGAGTGTTTTTGCAAGGAAGAGTGGGCAAATATTGCCAAGTCAAGATGTGCCATGCTGATAGACTCATACCCAAAAAGACTGAGTGCTGCAATCAAATCAAAAGGTGCTTCAACAAAGTATTAGTTTAAGGGTGTGCACACTTATGCAACCATATTATTTTAGTTTTTTATTTTTACTTCCCTCCAACTAAAAGATTTCAGTTTGGTGTTCAACTGTGTTGTACAGTTCATAGGATACATTAAAGGTGGAAAAAGTTCTGAAATTATTTATCTTTGCCTCATTTTGTTTACATCACAGAAACCATAACATTTTAACAGGGGTGTGTAGACTTTTTATATCCTCTGTATATGAACTTTATTGTTTAATTGTGACCAATGTTTATTTGGTATGAAAATTTATTGCCTGCGAATATTGAACAAGTACTGTATATTAGAGTTGATTATTGATTTTTGTTTAAATTGCATAAGTATATTTGTATTCAGAAATGTATTGGTATACACTTAGCATTTAAAGGGGCACGTGCACCTCTTTTGTACATTATTAATGTTGCTTTAACTGCTCTTTTTTTTTCCAATACAAGGCTAAGACCATTCATCCATGAATGGTAAGCTAAAGTTATAAACTGATTACTATTAAAGTGAAAGGAAAGATAAGCAAGTCACAACCCGACTCAAACAATTCCCCGGATGCCTAGTCACCTGCAATACTTTTACCAGCAGAAAGTAATAGTTAAAAGGCTGTATGTTTTTCATTTATAGGGGTTAAGACAAAAAATGGAAACACGGCATGAACTGCAGGTGTGAAAATGATGACATGTTTTGTGTTGAAAGCGGAAGTGATAACTGGTGGGAAGCCTCACTTTTGTCATTCACTGCGTGCGGTGCAGGTAGTACGGAGTCATGTCAGAGCTTACTGAGCTGCAAAGAGGGCAAATTGTTGATGACCACAACTGGTGCCTCTGTGACTGAAGTTGCCAATTTATTTGTCGTGTCGCAAGGTACAGTATCAAAGGATATGATGGCATATACAGTTTCCATGAAAATTTCATCTGATAAACATAAGTGCGGTTGACATGGTTAATTGACCAAAAGAGACAAAAGGACATTGCGCAGGATTGCGACCCAGAATAAAAAAACAACTGCTGCAAAAGTGACTGCAGAGCTCAATCTCTGTCCCATGAAGACTGCACTTTCACACCTGAAAATCATGTAGTGTTTCCATATTTTGGTCCAACCCCTGTATTTTTTTTTAACGTTATAAGTGTGGGTTTTGTTAAAAACATTTTTTTTGTAATTGTATATATGTACATGTGAGCAGTTATAGTTGCTCATTACATATGCAGGTTCTGCTCTTTGATTTATAGTGCTGCATAATGGCCGTGCTTTATTACTGCTCATGATGCAAGTTTATGAGTTAAATGACTCAATGCACTCTGTGCAAATGTAAAATATGATTGTATTCCTATCCTGAACAACCTAATAAACGATAGAAAATTAAAGTAATGCACTCATAAGCCAGCAATAGACAGAAAGTTTTTTTTTTTTTTGTTCAGCCAGCAGGCGGAAAGAAAAAAAAAAAAAAAAAAAAAAACACAGATTTCTCCATCTACACAAGTAAGATGGATTGAGGAGTCCCTTCCTCCCAACAGAACATTGTATGGTGAGACTTGCAGCTGAATGGGTGTAGCCGCTGATTGAGAAAAGTTTCCCACTACTGTTTGACAGAAGTCGTTCATAGGAAAGACTTCTGTCGAGCAGGCATGGCCACACACTGATTGAAATTTGTCCGGTCACTGCAGAACTCAGGGTTTTGACCCATCTATGGCCAGTTTTAGCTTGGCTCATAGCTTCTTTCAAGAGTGGGTAATAAAGAGACAGATTAATTATACTGAGCTAATGAAAGCTCCTTCCCTCTCTAATCTCCATATTTGTATAAACAAAGCCCAATGGGCTTTTCAAATCAAGTTTAAAAGGGTTAATTCACCTGTAATGACATTTGCAAAAAAAATTCCATAAGCGTTACAGTGCATTAATATACAGTCATCTGTTTTTGTAAAATAATGCTTACTTTTTAAGCTGCATTTTCGATTGGGCTCTCCTCTTCATCAGCCTAGTCCCCTCAGCACCTCACAAACAAGGACTCTGCTTCATTCCCTACCCAAGCATGTACAGTCTGCTTTATTGCTTGATTGTGAGGTGCTGAGGTCATGAACCAACATTCGGTTCATCCTGCCATCTAGGCAGGATGGAGAGGGAAGCCCACAAGATAACGCAGAGCTTGAGAAATAAGCATTATATTACAAAGCAGAGGATATTATATTATTAATGTACTGGGGAAGCTGTAATGCATAGGGATCAATTTTTTTTTTTGCTATTGTACTTAAATAGCAAACATGTCATACTTACGTACTATGTGAAGTGGTTTTGCACAGAGCAGCCCTGATCCTCTTCTTTTTGGGTCCCCCACAAGCGCTCCTGGCCCCTCCCTCCTGCCGAATGCCCCAGAGCAAGAAGCTCGCTGCTGGGCACCCAAAGTAGGCTTGATCTTGCGCTGCTGCACACAAAGCCGCAGCTCGGCTCTGCCCTCTCCCTCTCCTCATTGGGTTACTGGCTGTGATTTGGGGGGGGGGGGGCTGCATGCATACATAAGATTTTTTTCACCTCCAGGCATAGAATGCATGGAGATAATAAACCTTGCGCCTTTACAACCACTTTAAATGTTAATTAACCCGTTAAAGAATTTTTTGCATGCTACACATTTGCAAAACAATGGTATGGTGTTTTCTTCATTTGTTTGTTGTATTTGGGTTTCTCAGTAAAATGCATATGAGAGCGGAGAATCAATTAATTCTGGCCAATATATTTCAGTTTTTGCTTAGCCATAGGAATTCCAGAGCTGGATTTCCATCTGTAAGTCTGTAGGCACCTTTGGGCATCCATGGCAATGCCCTTCTGCTAGTATCACCTCTTTACTGGTTCTAGGTTGGCTGAAAATATTGTAACAGTGTGAAAAAGTATTTACAGTATTTAAGATGACTGACTTTTTTGATACTGGGAAAACATTTATGGTCACTTGCTATACATGTATATCTATAAAATGTATAGGTGTGAAGAGACTCAAAAGGCAACAAAGATGTACTTCATCAGATCTGGCTTAGTACACTAAGCAAATTTCAGCCTTGTGGGCCCCCTCTTGTTTGACATCCTTCAATTTAAAAATAGAAGGAGCCAAATGAAAACTTTTGACCGAATGGTAGCTGTGTCTAATCACATGCAGGTGAATATTCTGTAGGTGACTGTCAGAATACAACAGGCACAACGGGAGATTTGTCTATCCATGCTGTCCATCAGAGTTAATTGCAGCTGTGGTTGACCTGCTTGAGCTTCTTTTGTATTCCCAGAGATTTGTATGGGGTGAGGATAATTTCTAAAGCAAACACAGGCCCCTAGAATTGTCCTCAGTACTAGGGGAATAATTAAACTACTCTTGCGAAAATTGGCTTGGTTTAGCAACATGAGTATCTTCAGTATGCATTGGCTGCGGTATAATTAGCTTTTATGTTCCGTACCATACTTACTGGCAATCAGAAGAAAGTTGTAGGTAAGAAATGATTAAGGAAAATTAGTGCATATATTGTCAAGCTGCTGGTTACGTTTTTGCAATGTTATTTTCTTTTATAGCTATATCTAGTTAGTTGGCACTAAAGGTGAAAAAGTATCTACAGTATAAGAGGGCACATATGAATCAGTACAATAATCGGCTAACTGCTTGGTTACACTGTTAACCCTAGGTTTAGTTCTACATCTTTTAGGCAGGATCAAACACTAGCTTATCTCATTTCGAACATAGTAAGAGAACATGGCAACAATCAAAAGTCACTACTTACCCAAGAGGGCGGAATTTCCATCCCCCAAAGGGAATCTCTGGTATCGAGGAACATTAAAGGGAGGCAGCAGATGGAACTTCTTTTCTAGAAGTGGCTCTACACGTGAGGCAGAAGGATCAGCAGGGTGGAAGAGGTTGTAAACCTGCTGGCAGCCAGGTCGAAGCTGATAAACTGAAGATGAAACAGTTCCGAGAATGAGTATTTCAGAAAACAAATGTTTGTAGAACCAAAAACCTTTAGCACGGCAGGAAGGTCACATTCATCATAATGCCAGAGTGGCAGGTACTAGTATTGGTGGGAGCACAAGAAAATGGAAACTGCTCACCGAAAAAATGGTAAACGTCTACTTGTACCAAATTGTGTTGTAACTGTTATGTCTACCTTCATTTTGTAAAGCGCTGTGCAAACTGTTGGCGCTATATAAATCCTGTATAATAATAATACTGTACCTCACAACACAAAAAAAAATGAATGATCAATCTTTGAATTAAGTTTATCAGGGTAGTTCGGTGATACATGTAGGTATTAAAGTAAAACTCTAGTTTTTATTTAAGGAAAGAAAAAAAGAAAACAGCAATACTTTTCAGGAAACCAAATATATAAAGAAAATCTTTGTCTTGCCCCTAAATTATTTCTTCAAATCAAACATTAATAGAAAATCCATAATAATGCGAATAAATAGTGAAAAAAAAAAAATATATATATAAAAAACTGTGTTAATTAACATATATATATATATGTGATAATTCCAATAATAAATGTGACAATAAAAAATAGGAATAGTGAATCTCAATCAAATATACGTGATTGATGTGAAAAAACCATATATTGAACTATTACATATAAAAGAATCCACTGAAACTTGTGATGTTTAAATATAAAAAAGTGTCCATAAATGAACAATCACAGTCCATGCAATACGGTGAAAACGACACTCAGTGTTCTTCACTTCTAGTGCTCAAAACAAGAAAGGGAAGAAATCCTCCAATGGCAGCAATGCCTGCTCACCTCCCCAACTCGACCCGCAAAGGGCCACAAGGCTATAAACTCTCCTCCAGGTAATCCTTTGCTTCCAAGCAGCTCAGTAAGGAATCACAGGACCTCCTCTCCACCTCCTCTCAAACGTCATATAGGACACAAACAGAGCTTCCCATAGTGTAATACCATTTATTTAAAGACACTCCATATAGCAAACTGTTTCCACTCACATGCGTTTTGTTAGTAAAATGCAGTCCTCCTCATTCCCTGGGTGCATTCACATGTAGATAGGGAAACCAATATGGTCGCTGTGCTCGGACATCCGTCCCCACGTGACCGGAAATGATGTGTCTCTGGGCTGGGAAAAACGTTCCGACGCGTTGCGTCACGTGCGTCGTGACTTCATCAGGGTCTGATGAAGTCACGACGCACGTGACGCAACGCGTCGGAACGTTTTTCCCAGCCCAGAGACACATCATTTCCGGTCACGTGAGGACGGATGTCCGAGCACAGCGACCATATTGGTTTCCCTATCTACATGTGAATGCACCCAGGGAATGAGGAGGACTGCATTTTACTAACAAAACGCATGTGAGTGGAAACAGTTTGCTATATGGAGTGTCTTTAAATAAATGGTATTACACTATGGGAAGCTCTGTTTGTGTCCTATATGACGTTTGAGAGGAGGTGGAGAGGAGGTCCTGTGATTCCTTACTGAGCTGCTTGGAAGCAAAGGATTACCTGGAGGAGAGTTATAGCCTTGTGGCCCTTTGCGGGTCGAGTTGGGGAGGTGAGCAGGCATTGCTGCCATTGGAGGATTTCTTCCCTTTCTTGTTTTGAGCACTAGAAGTGAAGAACACTGAGTGTCGTTTTCACCGTATTGCATGGACTGTGATTGTACATTTATGGACACTTTTTTATATTTAAACATCACAAGTTTCAGTGGATTCTTTTATATGTAATAGTTCAATATATGGTTTTTTCACATCAATCACGTATATTTGATTGAGATTCACTATTCCTATTTTTTATTGTCACATTTATTATTGGAATTATCACATATATATATATATATGTTAATTTACACAGTTTTTTATATATATATTTTTTTTTTATCACTATTTATTCGCATTATTATGGATTTTCTATTAATGTTTGATTTGAAGAAATAATTTAGGGGCAAGACAAAGATTTTCTTTATATATTTGGTTTTCTATTGATATATATTTTTTTATGTCACGGATATATTTTATTTATGAGGTATGGTTTTCATTTAATATTATATGCACTGTGTGCGTATTTAGGGATTCATTCTAGCGCTTCACTATTTTTGTGTTTGATATTTTATCACTTATTGGTTAAGGCAGAGTGATAGCAGCTGTTAGGATAGGGACTCACCCATACCAAGCGCAGGAGGATATTTCCATTCAATACTTTTCAGGTCCTCCATACGCAGGGCACTGATTTTAGCAAACTTTATTACAGATCCTAACAAGCATCCGCATTATCCAAGATATTGAATTTGGGCCTTGTCAGTATTGTACTAGAAATTGATGTAGGCCTTCCCTGTCAAACTGACTGCTAAATGGGAAGTCTTGTCTTTATTATAATCCCATGTTTATGACAAGTTTTTAACATTGCCATTTGTTAGCATCAGACACAGATAAAGACCCTACTATAGAGGATGCCTGAAATTAGACTTTTGGGAAAAGCAGAAAGTCAATCGCATAAGTGGATGGGAATGAGATTCTCTGGCGTCTGTATATAAACAGCGGTATGGTTTCTATGGTTGCAAAAAAAAAAAAAAAGATCATTTTTGGCAGGATGGTTTTAGTATGTTCAATTAAATAAATAAATTTATAGTGCCGCGCTCCTATTTTTTTTTAAATAGGAGCGCGGCACTATAAATTTATTTATTTATTTAATTGAACAAATAGGAACACAAGTAAGTGAGTCTGTGTAAGTGCCAGCGCACCAAGCACATTATATCAGTAGACAATTATTTACAACTCACTGAATACCTCATTCATAATAGCTCACAAGTATTCACTTCTTACATGGTTTTAGTATAATATGGCTGGATGAAGACTGGAAAGATACATTACAAATTTACATAATAACCATACATTTGACATTGGACACAGATTTACAAATCAGTGCAGCTCAATGCATGGTTTTACCCTTTCCAGTTCCTGTCTTTTTTTTTTTTTTCAATTATACTGGCTGCAGAGCTCCATAGACATCGGCAGCATCAGTAATTGGGAAACCATGATGAAGTATAACAGAGCTGTAGCCCCATTTCATAAGTACTAGCAAAGAACAAATTATTAGTAAAAAAATGGTAATCGGTCTAATGTGGTCCAGATGCATTTATGTATTTATATCATACTTACTGTCAAGGGCTGGAATCACAGTTTTCCTCAACGCCAACACTAGTCCAAGAGGAGAGCCAAACAGAAAGAAGTCTGTAATCTCAAAGTCAAAAATTTTCCAATGCTGCCTCCATCCAACATTGTAGAGCTGCTTGACCTTCGAGACCCGGGATCATTTCTGAGGACACTTGCGTGTAAACTGGAAACAAACAGATGCTTTATGGAAATACAGCTGGTGATGTCCCATTCCAAGTCCACTTTTCTTACGGCTTGGTTGAGCATTGGCAGTTTATATCTACAAGGATTGTGTCCCTGCCTTATCTCAATAACCATCCAAGTTTAATTACCATTGCTGTTTATGTTTGTTTGTGTATGTTTTTTTTTTTTCAGAGATCATCTTATTAAAATTCTGCTAACAATTTGTGTAGTAGTAGTGCTTAGACCTTGAAGAAGGAGGTACACCCCAAAAGCTTGTCCTGAAAATTTGGATTTTAGTGCAAATAATAAAATATCACGGACAGCACTCAATTGTTTCTGTTGCAAGTGCACTAATACGGCTACAATAATCTCAGGGTTGTGTGGGTAACTCCTTCCAGTTCTACAGTATCTGCTTACAGTGAAGGAAATAAGTATTTGATCCCCTACTGATTTTGAATGTTTGCCCACTCACAAAGAAATGATCAGTCTAAAAATCGAATGGTAGGTGTATTGTAACACTGAGAGACAGAATAGCAACAAAAAATTCAAAAGAAATGCATGTCTAACAAATGATGCACTGATTTGCATGTCCGTGAGGGAAATAAGTATTTGATCCCCTATCATTCAGCAGGATTTCTGGCTACCAGGTGTCTTTCATACAGGTAACAAACTGAGATTAGAAGCAGTCTCTTAAAGGGAGTGCTGCTAATCTCATTTTGTTACCTTTTATAAAAAAAAACCTGTCCACAGGAGCAATCAAACAATCAGATTCCAAACTCTCCACCATGGCAAAGACCAAAGAGCTGTCCAAGGATGTCAGGGACAAGATTGTAGACCTACACTAAGGCTGGACTGGGCTACCAAACTATCGCCAAGCATCTTGGTGAGAAGGTGACAACAGTTGGTGCAATCATTCACAAATGGAAGAAGCACAAAACAACTGTCAGTCTCTCTAGGTCTGGTGCACCATGCAAGAGTTCAACTCGTGGAGTGTCAATGATCATGAGAACAGTGAGGAATCATCCCAGAACTACACGTGAGGATCTTGTCAATGATCTCCAGGCAGCTGGGACCACAGTCACCAAGAAAACAATTGGTAACACACTACGTCGACAAGGATTGAAATCCTGCAGTGGCCGCAAGGTCCCTCTGCTCAAGAAAGCACATGTCCAGGCTTGTCTGAAGTTTGCCACTGAACATCTGAATGATGCAGAGGAGGACTGGTTGAAAGTGTTGTGGTCAGATGAGATCAAAATTGAGCTGTTTGGCATCAACTCGCTGTGTTTGGAGGAGGAGGAATGCTGCCTATGACCCCAAGAACACCATCCCAATTGTCAAACATGGTGGTGGAAACATTCTGCTTTGGGGATGTTTTTCTGCTAAGGGGACAGGACAACTGCACCTCATCAAAGGGACGATGGACGGGGCAATGTACCTTCCAATCTTGGGTGAGAACCTTCCCTCAGCCAGGGTATTGAAAACGGGGCGTGGATGGGTGTTCCAGCATGACCATGACCCAAAACACATGGCCAAGGAAACAAAGGAGTGGCTCAAGAAGAAGCACATTAAGGTCCTGGAGTGGCCTAGCCCGTCTCCAGACCTTAGTCCAATTGAAAATCTGTGGAGGGAGCAGAAAATTCGAGTTGCCAAACATCAGCCACCAAACCTTAAAGACTTGGAGAGGATCTGCCAAGAGGAGTAGGCCAAAATCCCTCCTGAGATGTGTGCAAACGTGGTGGCCAACTACAGGAAACGTCTGACCTCTGTGATTGCCAACAAGGGATTTGCCACCAAGTACTAAGTCATGTTTTGTGAAGGGGATCAAATACTTATTTCCCTCATGAACATGCAAATCACTGCATCATTTGTTAGACATTTCTTTTGAATTCTTTGTTGCTATTCTGCCTCTTAGTGTTACAATACACATACCATTCGATTTTTAGACTGATCATTTCTTTGTGAGTGGGCAAACATTACAAATCAGCAGGGGATCAAATACATATTTCCTTCACTTAATAAAAATGTAGTGCAGTGCTTAAAAATTATCAGTGGCATAAACGTATAAAATATAAACGCATAACCTGCACAAGGTTGGAATGCAGTGCTAAAATCAATAAAACTGCAAAAAGGTATAGGATAAGTAATACTAACACATACCATATAACATAATACAGTGCTACATTTGGTGACGGCAATAAAAGTGAAAACACGCATGTGGCTAAAACTAATCCACCAATAAAGATACTGAAATCCGAAAAAAAAATTGTCCAAAATAGAATACTAAATGTCCCAAAAAGGGACCGCACACAATATTAAATGATGATGATAGTTCAATGATGGTGTGGATAAACATTCAGATAGGTGACTCTAATTATCCCAGTTTGAACATATAATCTGGTGACGTGTGGAAAATAGTAAAATTGCACACTCACCAGCAGTGCAATTTACAGGTAGAGAGTGACTGGGAAGAAGAGGAGGAAAAAGCTGGAACATGTTTACATCTTCCACGCTAAATGAGAGTGGAACATGTAACATGTTCCAAAGGTGAACTTCGCCTTTAAGCTGGCCATACACTAATCAAAATTCAGCCAGTTCAGCAGGAACCAGATGAAGTTCAGTGTGTGTCCATCTGCTACACAAGTCAATCATTTGATCATCTTCTGTTGAAGGGACAAGCTGGATAACCTTTGGCATTCAGCGGCAGTAGCCGCCGGTCAGTGTATTCTTTTTTTTTTTTTTGCTTACCAAGTTTTTTTATGGAAAAAGTTTTACATAATAACATTGGTAAATGTATTCTTAACCACTAGCCTACAGGGCACTTATACCCCCTTCCTGCCTAGGCCAATTTCCAGCTTTCAGCGCTGTCGCACTTTGAGTGACAATTGTGCGGTCATGCAACACTGTACCCACATTAAATTTTTATCATTTTTTTGTGACAGCTAGAGCTTTATTTTGGTGGTATTTAATCACCTCAAGGTTTTTTATTTGTTCTTAAACAAACCAAAAACCACTGAAAATTAAAAAAAAAGTAATTTTTCTCTTTCACTGATGTGCACTAATGAGGCTGCACTGATGGGAACTGATAGGCTGCACTGATGGACACTGATAGGTGGCACTGATGGGCACTGATGAGGAGGCACTGATACGCGGCACTGACTGGCACTGTTAGGCACTGATGCGCACTGACAGGCGGCACTGATTCGCACTGATAGGCGGCACGGATTGGCAGCACTGATTCGCATTGATAGATGGGCACTGATATGTGGCAATGATGTGCACTGGTAGGCACGGATATGTGGCATTGATGTGGCACTGATGAGCACTGACAGGTGGCACTGCTGGGGCTACACTGATCATCAGGGCACTGATGATCAGTGTACATGTCCCCTCCGCGGAAAGCCGATTACCGACTTTCCTCTCGAGCTGTCAGCGTGACAGCTCGAGAGGAGAGAAATGCCGATAACTGGCATTTCCCTGTTTACATGTGATCAGCTGTGATTGGACCCAGTTGATCACGTGACCGAGCCGACATCTTCAGCTCTTTCTGTGATCAGTGATCCGCTGTGTCCGAGGGACACAGCGCACCGCCGATCGCCGCGCTGCGCGCTCCCTGAGCCGTGCATGCACGGTGAGAATGGGACGACGTCATATGACGTCCTTCCAGAACGAGAGAACCACCTTGCGTCCGTCACATTACTATATGGCGGGCGGGAGGTGGTTAAAGTGATATGTCCTGCTTTTAGAACACAATGTACCCTTGGCTGAATGGAAAAAAATTAACCCTCTATGGCCAGATTTAGGCTACATACAAAAGACATTCTGATTACCTATCCACTGTTTTTACAAAAGATTGTTTAATTTATCATGCAAATTTAGAGTGTTTATATGAGTGTCTGCTGCCTTAAGAGGTCTATGTGGCATCAACTGTGGTTCCTAACATGAATATGATCAACTAATATTCAGTATATGCAGTTCAAGAAACATATGCCAGAGACTGTGTATATACCAAAGGAATGACGGTCAGACACTGGATATTCTAGAGGTTTGGTTGGATATTGAAGACATGCTGCAGATAGAGACTTTGGACATGTTACATAAGCTTAGTAGAGGTCACTGCTATTATCCCTTTAGAGATAATGCTCTTACTCCCAATACAAAACTGCGTGAGTCCAAGGGTACCCACAATAAGTACTAAAGGGCTGCAGGTTGGGCAACAGGGTTCTAGATCCACCCAATGCTCATCTTATTTGGAGGTAAACAAGCAACTAGCTAAAAAATCCATCCGAGTCATCACATTAGCTGTCAACCACAGACTTGGCAGGGCTCTCATGTCTGAGTACCTTAGTGTAAACAAAAATATAAAATATTGCATCTTTGGATGTAGTGACATTTTGTGCAAGTACTTAGAAGTTACGATTGATCCTGCCAGGGATCCTGTATGCTCATAACTTCCGGTGCACTGAAATCTCAAACAATCCAAGATCAGCCTAGGGTAATGACACTTTATAGATACAGTAAGATGAACGAGCCTTGTCGCTCTAGGACTGGAAGTACATAACTGGCTAGATTAACAAGTGAAAACAAAGGAAAAAGTCTGAAAAAAACCTAAATGTAGTCACAACTTCTAAGGATAAATAATGTCAAACAGTATAATACAGTTTGAACGTTAACTGGGTGTCTTTCTCACCACAATTAACAGGCTTATCAGTGGACTTACTAACACAGGTTTATCTGGCGGAAATTGAAAATAAACTGCTAGAAACCTTTATTTGGACTTCTTCTGGATCCACAATATATTTCCATCATCTTTAATATACACTATATTGACAAACGTATTGGGACGCCTGCCTTTACACGCAAATAAACTTTAATGGCATCCCAGTCTTAGTCTGTATGGTTCAATATTGAGTTGGCCTACCCTTTGCAACTATAACAGATTCAACTCTTCTGGGAAGGCTGTCCACAAGGTTTAGGAGTATGTCAATGGGAATGTTTGACCATTCTTCCAGAAGCACATTTGTGAGGTCAGGCACTGATGTCAGACGAGAAGACCTGGCTCGTAGTCTCCACTCTAATTCATCCCAAAGATGTTCTATTGGGTTGAGGTCAGGACTCTGTGCAGGCCAGTCAAAGTTCCTCCACCCTAAACTCACTCATCCACATCTTTATGGACCTTGCTTTGTGCACTGGTGCGCAGTCATGTTGGACCAGGCAGGGGTCGTCTCCAAACTGTTCCCACAAAGTTGGGAGCATTAAATTGTCCAAAATATATTGGTATGCTGATGCCTCAAGAGTTCCATTCACTAAGGGGCAAAGCCCAAACCCTGAAAAACAACCTCACACCATAATCCCCCCTCCACCAAACTTTACACTTGGCACCATGCAGTCAGGCAAGCACCATTCTCCTGGCAACCAGCAGATTCATCATTCCAGAGAACATGTCTCCACTGCTCTAGAGTCCAGTGGCAGCATGGTTTACAGCATTGCACTTGGTGATGTAAGGCTTGGATGCAGCTGCTCGGCCATGGAAACCCATTCCATGAAGCTCTCTACACACTGATGTTGTGCTAATCTGAAGGCCACATGACATTTGGAGGTCATTAGCTATTGACTCTGCAGACAGTTGGCAACTTCTGAGCACTGTGCGCTTCATCATGCACTGACCCTGCTCTGTCATTTTATGTGACCTACCACTTTGTGGCTGAGTTGCTCTTGTTCCCAGTTGCTTCCACTTTGTTATAATTCCAATAACAGTTGGCTGTGGAATATTCAGTTGCAAGGAAATTTGACTGATGGACTTACTGCTCAGGTGGCAACCTATCACGGTACTACGCTTGGATTCACTGAGCTCCTGAGAGCGACCCATTCCTTCACAAATGTTTGTAGAAGCAGTCTGCATGCCTAAGTGCTTGATTTCATACACCTGTGGTCATGGAGGTGATTGGAACACCTGAATCCAATGATTTGGAGGGGTGCCCCAATACTTTTGGCAAAACAGTGTATTTATGCCTTTATATTCCATACTACTCTGTATGAAGACACTATTGTGTGAAATCACACACTTTGGCTAGTTACTTATAATGTATTCTTGTGATTGATTTCAAGATCCTTTTGTAAAAAAACATATCTATTTCTATTTTAATTCAGAGAGCAGTGCATGTCTTCTGCCAGAAGCTCCCAGTAGCTAAGCTATCCCAAATATACAGTAAGATGCTTTAGACATTTACAGACATTCTTCTACCAAACCTACAGACTATTCTCCACTAGTGCATGTAGTACACATACCTAGAGAGAAAAGCTTGATGCTGCTTAATGGTGTCCAGCTCATAGGTTGAAGAGTCACTTCTCTTGCGAGGAAGCTGTTTCTTTGGGTCTTCACCATTGCTCCGAGGTATGTCTATGTTGCTGCGGCTTAAATGTCGACTAGTCTCCAGATTTGAACTGCTAGAGCAGTAACTGTTGTTAACGCTGATACCTGGAGATAAGAGATCCGTATCCTAAAAAAGACAGTAGGAATGTCAGAAAGTAATAAAAGAGCGGGTATAGAGATAGATATATATTTCGTGTGTGTATATATATATATATATATATATATATATATACACACATATACACATATATACACACACACACACACATAAATACATACATACATACACACACAGTGCATCCAGAAAGTATTCACAGCGTTTAACTTTTGCCACATTTTGTTACGTTACAGCCGTATTCCAAAATGGATTAAATTCATTTTTTCCCTCAACATTATACAAAAAATACCCCATAATGACAACGTGAAAGAAGTTCATTTTGAAATCTTTGCAATTTATTTATAATGAAAAACAAAAAAAAACATGTACATAAGTATTCACAGCCTTTGGCATGACACTCAGATTTGACCTCTAGTGCATCCTGTTCCCACTGATCATCCTTGAGATGTTTCCACAACTTGATTGGAGTCCAACTGTGGGAAATTCAGTTGATTGGACATGATTAGGAAAAGCATAAACTTGTCTATATAAGGTAGCATAGTTAACAGTGCATATCAGCACAAACCAAGCAATGAAGTCCAAGGAATTGTCCGTATACCTCCAAGACAGGATTCTATCAAGGCACGGATCTGGGGAGGGGTACAGAAAAAGGTCTGCAGAATTGAAGGTCCCAATGAGCACAGTGGTCTCCATCATCCGTAAATGGAAGAAGTTGGGAACCACCAGGAATCTTTCTAGAGAGGGCCGCCCAGCCAAAATGAGCAATCAAGGGAGAAGGGTCTTAGCCAGGGAGGTAACCAAGCACCAGATGGTCACTCTGAAAGAGCTTCAGCGTTTCTCTGTGGAAAGAGGAGAACCTTCCAGAAGAACAATCATCTCTGCAGCACTCCACCAATCAGGACTGTATGGTAGAGTGGCCAGACGGAAGCCACTCCTCAGCAAAAGGCAAATGGCAGCCTGCCTGGAGTTTGTCAAAGGGCACATGAGGGACTCTCACCATGATAAACAAAACTCTCTGGTCTGATAAAACAAAGATTGAACTCTTTGGCCTGAATGCCAAGGGTCATGTCTGGAAGAAACCAGACACTGCTCACCACCTCACCAATACCATCCCTACAGTGAAGCATGTTGGTGGCAGCATCATGCTGTGGGGATGTTTTTCAGCGGCAGGAACTGGGGGCCTAGAGAATGTTCTGGAGTGCCCCAGCCAGAGCCCAGACCTGAACCCGATTGAACATCTCTGGAGAGATCTGAAAATGGCTGTGCACCGATGCTCCCCATCCAACCTGATGGAGCTAGAGAGGTACCGCAAAAAAGAATGGGAGAAATTGCCCAAAAATAGGTGTGCCAAGTTTGTAGCATCATACTCAAAACGACTTGAGGCTGTAATTGGTGCTAATAGTGCTTCAACAAAGTATTGAGCAAAGGCTGTGAATACTTAAGTACGTGGTTTTTTTCTTCCATTTTTAATTTTTAATAAATTACAAAGATTTCAAAACAAACTTCTTTCACATTGTCCGTATGCGGTATTGTTTGTAGAATGTTGAGAAAAAAATGAATTTAATCAATTTTAGAATAAGCAAAATACGGCAAAAGTTAAGCACTATGAATACTTTCTGGATGCACTGTATATATACAGTGGAGATAAAAAGTTTACACACCCCACTTAAAATGTTAGGTTTCTGTGATGTAAAAAAATGAGACAAAGATAAATTATTTGATAACTTTTTCTACCTTTAATGTAACCTATAAACTGTACAACGCAGTTGAACAACAAACTGAAATCTTTTAGGTGGAAGTAAAAATAAAAATCTAAAATAATATGGTTGCATAAGTGTGCACACCCTTAAACTAATACTTTGTTGAAGCACCATTTGATTTGATTTCAGCACTCAGTCTTTTTGGGTATGAGTCTATCAGCATGGCACATCTTGACTTGGCAATATTTGCCCACTCTTCCTTGCAAAACACTCCAAAATATTATTATTATACAGTATGTATATAGCGCCAACAGTTTTCTCAGCGCTGTACATTATAATGGGAGACAGTACACGAGACAGCACAGTAACAATACAATACACGAGGGGTTCAAGGACCCTGCTCCTTGCAGCTTACAATCTAGGAGGGAGGGGAGAGTGGTATAGGATGAAATAGCTGTGGGGGATGGAATGGTGGGAAGAGCGGAGGAGATCGGCAATTAGGTGAGGGCGGGGTAGGCTTCTCTGAAGAGATGGGTTTTCAGAGTGCGCCTAAAGGTGAGGAGGGTCGGTGACAGTCTGATGGATTGGGGTAGTAAGTTCCAGAGGATGAGGGAAGCCGAGGAGAAGTCCTGGAGACGGGCATGGGAGGAGGAGACCAGGGAACTAGAGAGTAGGAGGTCTTGTGAGAAGTGGAGAGTGCGTTTTGGGTGGTAGATGGATATCAGGTCAGTGATGTAGTTTGGGGCAGTGTTATGAACAGCTTTGTACGTCAGTGTTAATAATTTGAATTTTATGTGTTGGGCAATCGGAAGCCAGTGGAGGGATTGGCAGAGGGGGTTGGCGGATATGGAGCGGTTAGTAAGGTGGATGAGTCTGGCTGCAGAATTCAGGATAGACTGAAGGAAGGATAGCCTGTGTTGAGGTTGGCCCGGCGAGGAGGGAGTTACAGTAGTCAAGTCGTGATATAATAAGGGAATGATGAGTTGCTTTGTAGTTTCTGGAGTTAGGAATGTGCGTATTTTGGAGATGTTGCGGAGGTGGAGTCTGCATGAATTTGTCAGCGTTTGGACCCGGGGCTGGAAAGACAGATTGGAGTCTAGAGTGACACCTAGTACTCTGGCTTGCGGGGTGGGGCTGATGGTGGCGTTGTTGGTCGTGATGGAGAGGTCGGGGGCGCGGGCTGGGTGGAAAACTAGGAGCTCAGTTTTGGCAAGGTTTAATTTGAGGAAGTGGAGTGACATCCAGTCTGATACGTCGTTCAGAAGGCTAGTGATTCGGGCGGAGACTGAAGGGTGGTGAGGCGAGGGGTAGAGAGATAGATTTGAGTGCCATCGGCATAGAGATGGTAGTTGAAGCCGTGGGAGTGTATCAGTTGACGACGGGAGGAGGTGTAGATAGAGAAGGGGCCCGAGAACAGAACCTTGGGGGACCCCAACAGTGAGAGGGAGTGAGGAGGAGGTGGCAGCGTTATAAGTAACACTGAAGGAGCGTTGTGAGGAAGAGAGCCAGGAGAGAGCAGAGTCTCTGAGGCCAAAAGAGTATCGTTTTTTTGAGGAGGAGGGGGTGGTCGACCGTGTCGAAAGCCGCAGAGAGGTCGAGGAGTAGTAACACTGAGTAGTGGCCATTGGCTTTGGCGGTTAGCGGGTCATTGGTGAGTTTGAGTAGGGCGGTTTCGGTGGAGTGTAGGGGACGGAAGCCAGATTGTAGGGGATCAAGGAGGTTGTTGTCGGTGAGGTGGGAGCTTAGGCGATTATAGGCTAAGCGCTCAAGGAGTTTGGATGTAAATGGCAGCAGGGAGATGATAACGTTGTTTAGGTCAGTGGGATCCAGGGAGGGTTTTTTGAGTATGGGGGAGTGATGTGCGCGTGCTTCAGAGGGGAGGGGAATGTGCCAGTAGAGAGGGAGAGAATAAAGATGTGAGTGAGGGAGCGTAGGATGGAGGAGGGTGATTGTAGGAGTTGTGAGGGGACAGGGTCGAGGGGGCAGGTGGTAAGCCAAGCTTCAGAGAAGACCTTAGTGACCTCTTCAGTGGTAGCAGGGTCAAAGGAGTGGAGTGTTGAGGGGGTTTTAGTGTGAGGAATATTGGGCGGGGTGGAGGTCTGGACAGTGGCGAGGTCGAAGGAGAGGAATGTTGAGAGGGTTTTTGTGTGAGGGATGCTAGGTGGGGCAGAAGTCTGAGCAGTGGTGATGTCCCTGTGAATTTCGTCGATCTTGCTTTGGAAGTGGTTAGCAAACTCGTGGGCCATGAGTGAGGTACTGGGTGGGAGGGGGGCGGAGAGAGCAGAGAGTTGAAAGTGGAGAAGAGCCGGCGAGGACTGGAGGAGAGGGTATTGATGAGGGTTACAAAGTAGGCTTGCTTGGCAGCGTGGAGGGAGGAAGTGTATGTGAGGAAGGCGGATTTATATCGGGTGAACGCTTGTTGGGATCTGGTTTTGCGCCATAGTCGCTCTAGCGCATGACTGTGTCACTTGAGATTTTTGGTATGGTCATTCTGCCAGGGTTGAAGCGGTCGGGGTCTAATGTTTCGTGTGGTTAGGGGTGCTAAGGAGTCAAGAGCGGCTGACAACGAGTTGTTATAAACAGTGGTGGCCAGGTCAGGGCAGGACAGGGGAAGTATACTGTCGTACAGTTGGTCAGCTGCAGCGTGGAAGGGGGCAGGGTTCAGGTTGCGGAGGTTTCAGCTGGTGATGGTTTGACGTTTAGAGGGGTAGGTGTAAGAGGACGAGGAGACAGAGAAAGTGATGAGGTTGTGGTCAGAGAGGGGAAAAGGGGTGTTTGTGAGGTTGTGGGGGGTGCAGAGATGAGAGAAAACAAGGTCCAGGGTGTTCCCGTCGAAGTGGTGGACTGTATGCACTGTGCAAGTGCAAAAGAAGAGGTTAGGTGGAGGAGTTGGGATGTGGCCGGGTTATTGATGTTGATAGGGATGTTGAAGTCTCCAAGGATGGTGGTGGGCAGCTCGGAGGAGAGAAAGAAGGGTAACCAGGTGGAGAAGTCGTCAAGGAAGCGGGATACGGGTCCAGGAGGCCGATAGATTACTGCAATCCTCAGGGGGATTGGAGAGAATAGTCGGATGCAGTGGGCCTCAAAGGAGGAGAAGGATAGAGAGGGAGGGTTTGGGAGGACTTGGAAGGTGCTCTGCGGTGACAGGAGCATACCAACCCCACCTTTTCGACTGTGAGTCTGGGTGAGTGGGTCCAGGTGAGACCTCCATAGGAGAGTGCTACAGGGGAGGTAGAATTGGTGGTTTGGATCCAGGTTTCAGTGATCGCCAGGAGGTTGAGGCAGTGGGAGACAAAGAGGTCGTGGATGGCGGTAAGTTTGTTGCAAACCGAACGGGCGTTCAGGAGTGCACACGAAAATGGAGGGGTGGTTTTGGGGAGCAGGGGCACCGGTATTAGGCTGAGGGCATGTACTGTGCACAGCCCTCTTCAGATAACCCCACAGATTTTCCAGCGGATTCAGGTTTGGGCTCTGGCTGGGCCATTCCAAAACGTTCATCTTCTTCTGGTGAAGCCATTCCTTGTTGATGTGGATGTATGCTTTGGGTAGTTGTCATGCTGAAAGATGAAGTTCCTCTTCATGTTCAGCTTTCTAGTAGAAGCTTGAAGGGTATGTGCCAATATTGACTGGTATTTGGAACTGTTCATAATTCCCTCTACCTTGACAAAGGCCCCAGTTCCAGCTGAAGAAAAACAGTCCTAAAGCATGACGCATGTGTATATATGTGTATCATAGTACTCTCCGGATTGTAATAAAGTGTCAGCTGAAAGCAGCGCTGTATTATGTAAACAACGATCGGCAGCTTATATGTCCCTGACAGAAGCTAAAAGCTGTTGCTGAGAAATGTGGGGGTGTGTCTCCTATTATCAAGTGAGCTGCAATGAGGATACACCTACAGTGGTTTTTATTGGTGCAGCGGCTGACCGCGTCATGGCGACGCATGTAACCTGCCATGCTACTCACGCATGCGCTCAAAGTCATTCCTGCACCGGCTGCCATTATCATGGAAAACCATGATGTCGGCGCCGGGCAGGATGAGGCAGATTGCCGGTGTCATGGAAACACATGACGCCGGCGCCACACAAGCCAATGGGCGGGCAGGGTTGCGGAGATGAGCTGTGGAGAAAATAGAACAGATAATCGGTCCGTGAATGAAGCTGGGGAAAAGTGAAAGACATTTTGTCACAATTTGTCATGTGCTGATTCTGTTCAGTTCCAGCTTATGGTCCCTGCAGCACTTATACACACAGCTATTTTTAACGCAGGAGCGTGTGCGTTTGGATTGTACACTTGCATTCTGGACTGGTTTCCCATACAGCACCCCTGCTGGCTGCCCACCACGAGGTTATTTACCAGATGTACCTGTAGAAAACCGGGACATCACATTCACCGATTGATCCAATTGTGAGGATTGTCTATAACCAAATGGCCTCTGAAGATATCGCATCATCAAGTAATTTTGGATGCATTTACAATCAGGAAGAGATTGCAATCCTCTTCCCACCTGACACTGAAAAAGCATTTGGATCGGATACAGTCACTGACTGATTAAGGGAAATCAAAGCTTGATCTGGAGCTGCAAGGCCAGAATCTGTACTACAGAGCGAGAAAAATCCCAAGGGGTTTCCGGATTAGACATCAGCCCACCATCGGAGGTAATAAATGAGATTTCTGTGCAAAATGGTGTGAGGTTCTAAATTCGGCCAGTTCCTGCTGAATCAGATGAATTTTGATCCCTGTATTCCCAGATTTTGAGTTTTGGACAAGTGCTGCGAATGTGTATGGCTAAAATCAGACCTGGGGAATCTGTTTTCAACACAAAAGCGCTGCTTCGAGCAGCAAAGTTGTTCATCTTCTTTGTTTGACATTGCTTACATTTTTGTATTATTTGTGATAGGTCGGACTTTAATTTCACCTGAACCACTTCAAGTTCCTTTTTTACCTAAATTGCTTCACATTCGTTTTTCATTCTTGAGCAGAGCTGTGCAAGGTGACCACATATAACAGCTTTGTATGCTTCCCACAATGTTTTAGCTGAGGCAACCAAGCCAGCACTGAAACAAAATGTCTGAGATTTTCATATAGATAAACTCTGCTTGTCATATGAATTTGGCTCTTGCCTATAAGTACCTAGATATACAAGTAGCAATAAGATGCCACTGCTAAACCCTTTTAGGGAGGTCCCCACATCTATGCATGTATGATCTGGCCATCTGTGTCTAAAAGTTTATTTTTGATAGAATATGTATAGTGACTCCATACTGAAAATTGTATGAGCTTCCTAATCTGAATTGATCCCAAATGAGCTTTCAGAGAATGTCTTGATGTTTATTTCCACAGTGCTCTTATGGAGTAATTCAATCAGCTTCATCTAATGTAATCTGTTTGCAACAAGGATAATACTTGACAAAGTCAAGCCCTTAAGTCTTCATTTGTTATAATATGTAAACACAATATTTTTTTTTTTTCTTGCATAAGTGCAAAAACCTGTTCCTTACGCCCCCATTCACACTATCTAGCCCATCCTGTAAATGCACATTTTTTTGCACTCCGTGCACAGGGCAGACCATTAATTTAAATAGGCTGCCCTACACATGACAAATGTGGCAAAGACGCACAAGTATGCTTTTGAGCATTGGGTGATTTTTTTTTTTTTTTTTTTTTTAAGCGCAATTGTGAACATGCTACTGTAATGGGAATGCATCCTTAGCGCATCTGTCATGCATCCACACGTCTGCTGGCCTTAGACTTAAAGAGATTGTTAGACTCTATGAACACAATTATGTATGAGGTCTAAACAATCACACAACATAGCTGTTATTTTCACAGGCATTGTACTGTAATATGTACTGTATAGACAGTAAAACAGAATAATCTGATATGGCTCATTTTATATAATCAGCATATGTGGTATAGAGAACACAGCGCCATTTACATTGATCTATGTTACAACAGTATTTCGCAACCTTTTTTTCTGTCAAGTCACCCTTTTAAAATTATTCAAAATCTCGAGGCACCCCATGAAAAAAACTAATTTAATAGTTTTACACAATGCAGCAACATCCACAGGACAGCCAACATTCGAAGTGATTTAGGCTGGCCATACATGGATCGAAATTTGGCATGTTCAGTAGGGACCGGCCAAATTTCGATCCATGGATGGACTGTGGTGGAAAAAACTGATTCATCTATGAGCTGCCTTAGTCTTTCAAAGCAAATACACATTTACACACTGTTACTGACTAGTATTCCAGTGTTTCTCTTCTCTCTCACTCAGCTACCATGACAGTCATGCTGACAGTGAGGACCAAGAAGGGCAAACAAGGATGCTGTGCAGGTGTCTTATGTCCTCCTTATCAACGTATGACATCATTGGCTGTTAGAGTGCTGGCAGCTGGCAGGTTGTAATGGTGCACAATGAAAACCTGCCTTGGCATCTTTTTCCCTGTTTCTTCTGGGTGCTGGTCTTCAACCATCTTGATTGGCCAGTGCAGGATGACGTCACTCCTGTGCTTGCTTTTTGTAACTAAAAGACAGGCTTGATCCACTTGCTACCTTGTATACATTTTTTGGGCAATTTTGTTAGGCATTTGGCCAAGGCACCCCTGAAGGCACCCTGGTTGAAAAAGACTGTTACAACATAGCTTACCACTACAGACACATGAGCATGCAGGCTTAGGCTGGCCATACAATATGCAATTTTCTTTCCCTCAACCAGGAGCTGAAGGACAGAAAATCCCTCCTGCTACGCTAATGTATTCTGACAGCGGGAGATTTCCCCACCGTCACAACACAATCATCACTGCTGCTGGCTAAAGCCAGTGGCACTGATCGTATGAAAGAAAAAAAACCTGACAGGCTGATTGTACTGAAGCCCAAACGATGGATCGACTTCAGTACAACCATCCTGCCCATAAATGGATTGAAATCCATCTTGCTCCTGCTGAAGCAGTTGAATTTCGATCCATCTAGGGCTGGTTATATATGAATATTCAAACCACAGCAAGATACAATGCCAGAGACACAATGTGATCTATTGAATTCAAATATATCAAAAGAAAGTGTCAACATAGATTCAGAAACATCAGGAGTTTGCTTTCTTTAGGGAACAGGTAAAAGTTACAGTTGTCTAGCACACAAATGTTTAATCTACCTTTTGTAAATTAACAATAGAACAGCATGTGATACCTGAACACTCAGGATGCTTCCTCTGCGACTGCTGTTCTGACTTTCAGACACAGTCTGATTGCTGTAACATAAGGCATCAAATCCCAAAATCCCTCCAACACAGTCACCAACTAAACACACCTGTAAAGAAGATAGAAGATCAAAATTTCAGTGTTACAAGTCCAGGTAGGAGAGTAAAAGAGAAACAATATGAAAACCTAGAGGCTCAGTACTCAGAAAACGTGTCTGATCATCTTTCCTAACACCCCATCATTCTATTTCCTCCACTATATCATGTCTGCTATACTTTGAGCCCCAATTTCTCCACCAATTTCTTTATGCGGACTGTCACACTGACCACAGCTTTGCATTCTGGTTATTGGCAAAGCTGAAGTTCAGGTGAAAAAGAAAATCCACCATTTGAAAAATGTCCCATGTAATGATGAAAGGAGCAGATGACCAGATAAATTGGTCCAAAGTGTAAAACAAAGCATGTCTTGTTTTACATTAACTGGTGGACCTGATTGAATTTTGTGGTTTCTAACCAATTGACATTTTGTCTCTGGCTCAAGATTCCCCACCACTTATCTTCAATGCCTGTGTAAAGCAGTTTTTTCTCAAACTTTTTCTTCAGTCAAGGCATCATTTAAAATTATGGACAATCTCAAGGCACCCCGTTCTAAAATGTAAAAAACTATTCTACTAGTTTTACTTAATGCAGCAACATCCACACATGTAGTACACTCAACGTTAGAGGTGATTTTTTTATTTCAAAGCAAAAATACTTTTGTACACTAGTACTGATTAGAATTCAAATGTTTCTCCTTCAATTTCTCTCCCTCACTCAGTTTATGTGACTCCAGTGCTGACGGACAGGGGCGGAGCAAAAAAGGATACACTGCATGCATCCAACATCCTCTTTGACAGCTTTGGATGTTAGGATGCTGGCAGCTAGAAGGTCATAAGAGTGCACAATGAAAACCTGTCGCTTTGTGTACTAAAGGCAGGCTTGATCCAACTGCTGGCTTGTAAACAATTTCTGGGCAATTTTTAGGCATATTGCTAAGGCACCCCTGAAGTAGCCTGAAGGTACCCTGGTTGAAAAAGGCTGGTGTAGAGCAACCCTACTTACCATGCATTCTATGCTGCTAGTGAGTGCAGTCAGCTGCTGTGCCTGGTAGTCCCCTCTTTTAAACCACTGTCTATTACAAACAATATGAGCAGTTTACATGGGTTGCGAGGTGCATGGCCATCTATTCACACCTCCATAATTACCTACTGAGAGAAAACGCTCATTGTCGCAATGTAATGCTGATCCTTTAGCTTTAATGTTTGAGTCATTGACTTGGAACAAGCATGCAGATAAGGACTTTTGATTTCACTTACACTCGTAATCTGCATGCTTGATCCAGCTCAACAATGGTGACCCTCGTGTATCTCTTGACAGGTTTACTTTAGACAAAAGGGCTGCTGGGAAAATTGTATTGACATCACTAATTGCCTGGATGCTATACACATCAACAGATCAATATTTTTTACATTTTGAGGCAGCTGCCCAGAGACACAAAAGTGAGTACACCTCTAAGTGAAAATGTCCAAATTGGGCCCAATTAGCCATTTGCCCTCCCCGGTGTCATGTGACTCGTTAGGGTTACAAGGTCTCAGGTGTGAATGGGGATCAGTGTGTTAAATTTGGTGTTATCGCTCTCACTCTCTCATACTGGTCACTGGAAGTTCAACATGGCACCACATTGAAAAGAAGTCTCTGAGGATCTGAAAAAAAAAAAAAAGAATTGTTGCTCTACGTAAAGATGACCTAGGCTATAAGAAGATAGCCAAGACCCTAAAACTGAGCTGCAGCATGGTGGCTGAGACCATACAGCGGTTTCAACAGGACAGGTTCCACTCAGAACAGGCCTTGCCATGATCGATCAAAGAAGTTGAGTGCAAGTGCTCAGCATCATATCCAGAGGTTGTCTTTGGGAAGTAGACGTATGAGTGCTGCCAGCATTGCTGCAGAGGTTGAAGGGGTGGGGGGTCAGCCTGTCAGTGCTCAGACCATACGTCACACACTGCATCAAATTGGTCTGCATGGCTTTCGTCCCAGAAGGAAGCCTCTTCTAAAGATGATAGACAAGAAAGCCCGCAAGCAGTTTTCTGAAGACAAGCAGACTAAGGACATGGATTACTGGAACCATGTGCTGTGGTCTGATGAGACCAAGATAAACTTATTTGGTTCAGATGGTGTCAAGCGTGTGTGGCGGCAACCAGGTGAGGAGTACAAAGACAAGTGTGTCTTGCCTACAGCCAAGCATGGTGGTGGGAGTGCCATGGTCTGGGGCTGCATGAGTGCTGCTGCCACTGGGGAGCTACAGTTCATTGAGGGAACCATGAATGCCAACATGTACTGTGACATACTGGAGCAGAGCATGATCCCTCCCTTTGGAGACTGGGCCGCAGGGCAGTATTCCAACATGATAACGACCCCAAACACACCTCCTAGATGACCACTGCCTTGCTAAAGAAGCTGAGGGTAAAGGTGATGGACTGGCCAGACCTAAACCCTATTGAGCATCTGTGGGCCATCCTCAAATGGAAGGAGGAGCAATGCACAGTCTCTAACATCCACCAGCTCCGTGATGATGTCATGAAAGAGGATTCCAGTGGCAACCTGTGAAGCTCTGGTGAGCTCAATGCCCAAGAGGGTTAAGGCAGTGCTGGAAAATAATGGTGGCCACACAAAATATTGACAATTTGGGCCCAATTTGGACATTTTCACTTAGGGGTGTACTTACTTTTGTTGCCAGCGGTTTAGACATTAAAAGGCTGAGTGTTGAGTTATTTTAAGGGGACAGCAAATTTACACTGTTATACAAGTTGTACACTCACTACTTTACATTGTAGCAAAGTATCATTTCTTCAGTGTTGTCAAATGAAAAGATATAATAAAATATTTAGAAAAATGTGAGGTACTGTATATTTCGATTCTATATTTATATAATTCGAGGGTGTTTGAGGCCCTATTAATTTAGCAGGCTGATTATCACAATATGTAATGGGGATCTCAAGTTAAAGCCTAGTATTAAAGCAAACCTTTGTTTGGGGTTTATCACTGGACCAGTTTAGGTCTGCCTACATGAAGAGATGAAATGCATTATTATATGTTACTGAATAAATTATAGGGTGAAAAAGGAACTTGTGGACCTCATAGAACAAGTCTTGCTCTATACCATGCTACCTTGGCTGTTATCACCACAAAGATGGAATCCTAATTCAATTTAGTCAGAAATGCCTCCTCTTTATCAAAACATATTGCAATTCTGGTTTTATTTTTCTTCCAAACAAGAGGTAATAATCTTACATAGCCAAATGGAAAAATTGCAGGATAACACACAATACTTTCCATAGCAGTTACTTAGTACAACATCTGTCTGGTAATTTTACTAGGACAGGGCTCAACTACAGTGTAAATGCATTTTGTGGTAATGCTCTCAAGTCTGTAATTACTAAGTGCTTGAAACAGTGCTTCTTGATTTATTACCTAATGATTTAAATCCCACAGAGAATTCCACGGTAATTTCTTTATGACAAATTACTTCCATTGCTTAAAAGTGGAAGTGACTGAAAGTAACTTTAAGGTGCTTGGCTTTGGTGATGATTACACTTTCCAATATCAGCTACCACATATAAGCAGATTATATATATATATATATATATATATATATATATATATATATATATATGGAATGTTTATTGTCCCTTTTTCAATTCTTACCACATATGCTCCTCTTTCATTTACACCATTTTAAAATCTGAGCACATTTTAATCTGAGACACCACGACACTTTCGAGATATATGAAGATTTGCGAATATTAACTTTCTTTAGGTTTGCATCCGTCTTAAATGTGAAAACTTGTACATGCATGCCATTTTAAAAAAAGTCTCTTACCAGAACATATTTTAATGTGTTCAAAAGACATACAATTTTTGGAGCAGAAAAATGTATCAATGTAATACACTTAAAAATTAAAGATGGATCAAAGTAAATAAATTTTGTTAAACTAGAGGCATACTCTAGCCAAAACATTTTTACTTCCATTTTGGATAGTGCAGAAGGGTCAGGTATTTATTGTGCGAACCTATCAACTCAAAGTTGCACTACATAATGATGATAAATAAGGCAAAAGTGGGTGCAGAAACTGGCGTTCAATGGAATATGTGACCCATAAACCACTTCATTATTTAAAGCGGAGTTCCACCCAAAAGGGGAAGTTCCGCTTTAAAGATAGGTCCCCTGCTCCCCATTAAGGAATTAAGTACTGGCACCTTTGGGGGGGGGGACGGGTACCCGAATTTGACAAGTACCCGCACCCACTTCTGCTGCGATCGCCTAGGAAACGGAAGTTGTCCTCCTACCCTCCCTACCCGAAGTCTTGTGGGACATGTAACAGGTCCCAGAAGACAACGGGGCCATTCAGGAAGTGCAGCACTACTCACGAATGCGCAATGTGACAGCTTGCGGCTTCACAGCCTGGTGCCCACACTGAAGATGCCGGCCTCCTGGAATACAGGACGGACGGTGAAATGGGCTGTGTGGCGGGGTCAACGCGGGATCGTGGGACAGGTGAATGTCTGTTTTTTAAAGGTTAGCAGCTACAGTTTTTGTAGCTGCTGACCTTTATTTTTTTTACAGTCAGTGGGACTCCACTTTAAATTCTCTTTTGCAACAGAAACACACACAAACACATATTTTTATTATTTTATATATATATATATATATATATATATATATATATATATATACAGTTGCAAGAAAAAGTATGTGAACCCCTTGGGATTACATGGAGTTTTGCATGAATTGGGCATAAAATGTGCTCTGAACGTCATCTAAGTCACAACAATAGAAGAACACAGTCTGCTGAACATAATACTACACAAACATTAGATGTTGCCATGGTTTAATTGCACATAACATGTAAACATTCACAGTGCAGGGAGGAAAAAGCATGTGAACCTTTGGACTTAATAACTGGTTGACCCTCCTTTGGCAGCAATAACCTCAACCAAACGTTTCCTGTAGTTGCAGATCAGACCTGCACAACGATCTGGAGTAATTTTGGACCACTCCTCTTCACAAAACTGTTTCAGTGTAGCAATATTCTTGGGATGTCTGGTGTGAATCGCTCTCTTAAGGTCATGCCACAGCATTTCAATCAGGTTGAGGTCAGGACTCTGACTGGGCCACTCCAGAAGGCATATTCTGTGCTGTTGCAGCCATTGTTTTGTTGAATTACTTGTATGCTTTGGGTCATTGTCCTGTTGCATCACCCATCCTCTGCGGAGCTTCAGTTGGCGGACAGATGGTCGTACGTTTTCCTGCAAAATGTCTTGATAAACTCTGGAATTCATGTTCCCATCAATGACAACAATCCGTCCAGGCCCTGAGGCAGCAAAGCAGCCCCAAACCATGATGCTCCCTCCGCCATGTTTTACAGTGGGGATGAGGTTTTAATGTTGGTGTGCTGTGCCTTTTTTTTCTCCACACATAGTGTTGTGTGTTCTTCCCAAACAACTCAATCTTGGTTTCATCCATCCACAGTATATTTTGCCAGTAGTGCTGTGGAACATCCAGGTGCTCTTTTGCAAACTTCAAACGTGCTGCAATATTCTTTTTGGACAGATATGGCTTCCTCCGTGGTGTCCTCCCATGTACTCTATTCTTCTTTAATGTTTTCCTTATTGTAGCTGTGTCAACAAAAATGTTAGCATGTGCCAGAGATTTCTGTAGGTCTTTAGCTGACACTCTGGGATTCTTCTTTACCTCATGCAGCATTCTGCGCTGTGCTCTTGCAGTCATTTTTACAGGACGACAACGCCTAGGGAGAGTAGCAACAGTGCTAAACTTTCTCCATTTGTAGACAGTCTGTCTTACCGTGGACACATGAACATCAAGGCTTTTGGAGATACTTTTGTAACCCTTTCCAGCTTCATGCAAGTCAACAATTCTTGATGGTAGGTCTCCTGAGAGCTCTTTTCTGCGAGGCATGGTTCACATCAGACAGTGCTTCTTGAAACCAGTAAACCCAAAACAGGTGTGTGTTTTTTAAGGGCAGGACAGCTGTCAGCAACACATCCAATATCATCACACTGATTGGAGTCAAGGTTGGCTCACTCCTGGCTCCAATTAGCTCTGGGAGAAGTCATTAAGCTAGGGCCTCACATACTTTTTCCTCCCTGCACTGTGAATGTTTACATGTTATGTGCAATTAAACCATGGCAACATCTAATGTTTGTGTAGTATTATGTTCAGCAGACTGTGTTCTTCTATTGTTGTGACTTAGATGACATTCAGAGCACATTTTATGCCCAATTCATGCAAAACTCCACGTAATCCCAAGGGGTTCATATACTTTTTCTTTCAACTGTATATTTATATGATTTAAGGGTGTTTGAATAATATAAATACATGATGGTCTAATCCTGCAAAAGAAGTCAGTTTGAGGTCCTATTATTGTAGCAGGCTGATTATCATTTACCAAGGGCAGATTTCCCCTTACTTGTGTGAATGATACAACAGGTAGTGAGAGGAAATTTCCCATTTTTTACAACTGCCACTGTGAAAGATATCTTCATTGAAAAAATTCCTCTCCCCTCATCTGTTGACAACCTTCCCCTTACTTTTCAAATAATAACCACTGAGACAAAGTGTCATTTAAATACACAAGAACATGGCAATGCTTGTTTCCTTTAACTCACCTGCCCAGTGAAGGACATGCCTTCTTGTGACTTCGTGAAGTCAGCATACACCTGGTTGGCACGATGAATGACTGTTGCGACAGCTTCCACGTACTGAGGCGATGATGTAGCCAGCAGAGGGAGAGCAGCTAGAGGGATGTGGTCCTGACTATTAGATAAACAACCTTCATCATAACTGTATGGGCTTAAGCTGAAAACACAAATATTATAATAACTAGTATCAGTTAACGGTCATCAGTTATTGCTTTCATGTATAGGTACAAAAGCTGTGCTTGCTAGGAGAGAATTTTCTTTTATTAACAATATGATATTAGAAAACTGTGTCATACACTTACCTATATAGTTTTTGAGTTAAAATTCCAACAATTTACTTTGTCATTTTCTGAAGCACAAAACACAAGAAATGTAAAGAATCGGCTTATAATTAACGGAGAGACTCCAGGAATAATATCTACTATAGTTTAAAACATGAAAGGAAGTAAACAAGTCCTATAGGTTATGCCTATCCCCCTTCTTTCAGTTTATACAGAAAAAGCCTAATAATTACCATGGGCACTCTGATTGAAACATCATGTTTAACACGCACATTAAAACTAACCTGACTGGTTACCAGATATTAATTATACTTAATTAGCTAAAATTATGCAACACAGCTACTCTATCGGCAAAACACTAAAACAGCTAGATATTAAACAATTTTAGTTTTGTGACATCTTTCTTGAATTTGGAAATTGAGAATCTGTTTTAAGGCAGAACACAAAGTCCTTTTGCTTTATTTTTTCAATCAATCAATCTAGCCCTGAATCTTGGAATTTGCCTTTTCACGATCTCTGGAAAGTAAGACTTGTACAAATGGATCTCCGATTATCAAGACATTAACCTGTATGATCTGTCCTACACCACAAAGTCTTGAGATGTTGGAAACCACAATTCCAGCAGGCCTAAACTCATCACTCATCTATTTATGGGCAATCTGCTTTTACTTTGCAACCAGAATTGATCTCCTCCCATTCCTGAGTGCTGTAGATCAATTAGTCCAGCCCACCCTTTTCTTTTCTACCTTCTTCTATTTACTTCCTTCTACTCTCCTTAATTGCTATAAACCAGGGGCGCTCAACCTTTTGAAGAGCGAGTGCCACTTAAGCGATTTGGTAACTGGTCATGGGTCCCAATGAAATGAAATGGCTCTGAATTTCATATTTTTCATTTTGAATAGCATAATGAACATTTTCCTCCTGCAGCTGCTGAATACTGGTGGGAAGGAGAAGAGGAGAAACGATCTTTCGGTGGTGTCTGTATATACGTCCCTCATCACCCCTCCTGTCCAAGTGTAAAACAGAACATGACAGGGTCCAGGAGGCCACATGGACACCCTTGAGCATAGGGTGGGGTTATCATTGCGACCCCTGATGCTACAACAGTGATTGGGGGTGGTGGTGGCAAAAGCATGTCAGAAAGCACACCAAATCCACAGGAAATAATAGAAGTTTATGGCTCAGTGCAGCTAACTTGCAGGAAAGTAGCAGGTAAGTGCTCATATGCCCACTGCAAAATCGCAGTGCATGTGTTGTTTAATACACTGATCTTTTCCTCTTCCAGCTTCTGCTGGCATCGCTCTCTATCTCCAGGCTGCTAGAAAGGACCCAGGTGAAGTACACTTTGCATCACTTTGGCTGGGACAGGAGCCAGTGCTACGGAGGAAGCATCGGCTTATGCAGCTCCTGCTACCTCTGCAGCGCCAACTCGATGCACTCTGATGCTCTGGGATAGCGGCGTTTGGCAAGCCCAGATCATGATCCATACTTTGCCAACCCAAGGCATGCGCTTCCCTGGTTTGGAGTCAAGGGCCATATCAGACTGCTCCATGGGCCATGGGTTGAGCGCTCCTGTTCTAAACAGTTCTAAACAGTTGCAAAAGCATGAGCAACTCACTAAATGTCTCCACATGTTGTGCTGACTATACAGAATCTTTCTTATTTAGCCTGTTTCAATCCTCCTACATGTACCTTATTATAAAAATGGAGAAAGAACAGAGGGCGCACCGGCCTAGTGCATTACCATAAAAAATGTTTAATAAGAGAGAAAAGTAGGTATTGTACTCACAAACGACACTAAAGTCAAAGGCACATCATAAAAGAACAGCTTGGTCAAATCCAATAGACTAATGCGTTTCAAGGACTTGCAGCTTCCTCAGAGGCAAGTCCTCGAAACGCGTTAGCCTATTGGATGTCTACACTCCCTATTGCGGACAGTCACATAGCATGGATTTGACCAAGCTGTTCTTTTATGATGTGCCTTTGACTTTACTGTCGTTTGTGAGTACAATACCTACTTTTAGCTCTTATTAAACATGTTTTATGGTAATGCACTAGGTCGGTGCGCCCTCTGTTTGTTCTTACTCCATTCAGTATATTTGGAGTTCTCCAGAGTTTTGAGGGCAGCAAGGTGTGCATATTGCAGGACATTCATGATGTGGTCCTAGCCTACACTGAGTCCATCCCCAAGCACAGGAGCATTTGTGTTTGCTACATCTATGTACCTTATTATGTTGCATCTATACTAACTTTTTATAATACTTTAGTTACTATTTTCATTCAAAACCAAATAAAAAAAAAAATATTTATATATCATAAGCACATTGTACTGTATATTAGATTTCTGGTTTCAAGATTCACAGGATTCTTGGCACGTATAGTTGTTTACGGTGTGTCACAGTGTGATTGCACATTATTGTATAACACGTACTGTAATGTGTTTTCACAGTATAGCACATTATAATAAGCTTTACATGTCAGGGGAGCTTGGAGTTTAGCAGCCTATGGCCAGAGTACAGAACCTGTGACAGTAGCAACCAACATTCAGCTGTGTTTAAAAGATTATTGCTAGTGATGGCTATCACAGGTAATAGGTGCTTCCTGAAGTGTATGTGTATGGTCAGAGGTTGGGAACTGCAAAATTATTATTTCTAAAAACCTGAAAAACCGATTTTTATTTTATATAAAATTGCTGTCACTCATATAGCAATATTTCTTATCCTAAAAGGTTTATATAAATGCCAACGCAAAGGACAGCACAGACTTCAAAGAGCAGAAAGTATCTAACGACATGTCCAACACCAAAAATAAGATATTATTCCCAATTTTAGGATGGTGGGTATAGCGATGCAAATCATTCCTTTTTTTGCAGCTTGGTCAACTGTACATCCAGAACCATTGATTTATAGCACAGATAGAGTCAAACTTTATAGAGCTGAGACAAATCATTCCTTTAGGCCTAGTTCACACTGGCATTGAAAGCAGGGGTTTGAGAGGCGTTTTTAACACATTATCAAAACATGAAGCATTAGCATCGTGTCACTTCAAAACTGAAGCCTCATCTCAAGTCAGGTGTTTGAAGCCTTTCAACGCCTCCCATTCAAGTCTATAGTGATGCTCTTCAAAGACACTGTAAGGTGTTTGCAGGGCATTTTCAATGCGGTTTCAGCTCCTTAATAACATTACAGTTTACTATAGGTGTTTGTGGTGTGGTTTTAACACATGTAAAACACATATAAAATGCTTCAAAACTGCACATAGTGTGCTTGGGGAGTGTTTGAACGCTTATAAAAAGCCAATCTAATACTAAAGCTCATTAACACCTGTCTAACGACTATACTAACTCTATAGGAGCATTTGGTAAGAGTTCGAAATTTAGTCAAGTGTGAACAAGCTCTTAGGTCTCTTGACTTCACCCACTAGCCTAAAATAAGTATTATTTTTTTATATATATATATATATATATATATATTTTTTTTTTTTTTAATTGCTGATGGAGGTGTGACATGTAGAACCCTTTTCTAATAGGAAGGCACTACTGTGGTTGACACTGGCTCAGCAGAGGGCTGGCTCCTTTTGGCCTACCTCAACATGACCTGTTAGGTTATAAATAAAAATATCAAGTTTGCAAAAAGCAGAAGAGGAGAAGAAAGAAAGCGGAGTAAGGGGGAGAAAATAAAGGAGGGTGTACCCTCTCCAGTCATTGAGATAAATTTTGTTCCATTCTCAAAGAAGGGTTAATAGGTATTTGATCCAAGGTTTTATCAAAGAACGTCACCCTATCATTAAGCAAGGCTGAGAGCCGTTCATTGACCATTATCTACGATAGCTTGGATTTTAATAACTCAACAGGGATAGTAGGAGACCTGTAAGATCTGGAAATAAATATTCTGTCCCCTACGAAAATAAAGGTGATCACTTTCCTAGTAAGCTTAGGCATTTCCTCGAGTTTGAGTCCCAATAACGCTTGCTGAGGAGATTTCACTTAAGTTCACTTGAGTGAGTAGATAAGACCAATATTTTCAACCACGTTTTATAGATCCCTAAAGGGAAACAACCATCTTTTTTTTTATCTGGATTTCGATATAGAATACCAGAGAGAGACTCAATACAAATAACACTGTTCAATAGGTAAAAAGTTTTGGGCATAAAATTAGCTAATCTTACATAATTTTGGGGTGCTGAAAACGAAAATGACCCTAAAAAATGTTGATTGGCTCTAGTTTCCATGATATATTCACCCATCTAATGACGCAAGCCATTCAAAATTATGATGCAACTTCAGCTGCATATTGCGCAATTGATACTGGTGACCAATAGAAAATTGCATGTATACCGAGATGATGCAATATTAGCCTTTAATTGCATCACTTCACTGCATAAAAGCTGCAGTATCTGTAGCTGATTGTAGTTCGACAGCGACTTTACATTTCGTTTTATGCTTATATAGGCTACTCAGTAATGCCTCGAACTTGTGTGAATAAAGCAGATAATTTCTGCTATATCTGCGGTGAAATAACTTTTATCTCACAAAAAAGGAGGATAACAGGAATGATTAAGAAAGCCTACAACTTGTATTTTGGCTGCAAGATAGGAGACCAGAACAAGAGCTGGGCACCACATATATGCTGCAATTCTTGTGGGACGGCACTGGAGCAATGGTTGAATGGAAAAAAGGCATCTATGCCTTTCGCTGTGCCAATGATTTGGAGAGAGCCAACAGATCATGTTAGTAATTGTTACTTTTGTATGGTGCCTCCAATTGTAAAAGGGCTAAATAAGAAGAAAAAGTTATCTGTGCACTATCCAAATATTCCATCGGCAATACGTCCAGTTCCTCATGGAGAGGGGCTACCAATTCCTAAAGCACCAGAAT